GACAGGAAGATCTTCCGTCCGATGTTTCACTCCCCAAGTGGCTGCAAGAGCTGGAGCCAGGAACCAATCCGAAGCCAGGAGCCAGGAGCCAGGAGCTTCCTCCGGGTCTCCCATGCAGGTGCAGTGTCCCAAGGCTTTTGGCCATCCTCAACTGCTTTCCCAGGCCACAAGCATGGAGCTGGATGGGAAGCAGGGCCACCAGGATTAGAACCGGTGCACATATGGGATCCCAGCGTGTTCACGGTGAGGACTTCAGCTGCTAGGCTACTGTGCCCAGGCCCTCTGAGGCAATTTTTAACCCTGCAGCTCAAGTAAGCCAAGGAGAGAATTATAACCTGTTTAACCTCTCTGGCTGAGGAGTGTAATATAAAGATATCATCCATGCAATGGATAAGATAAGCCTTAGGAAAACAATATCTCACTTTGGTGGTCACACTTTGCATTGGTAGTGTTGCGTGGGTACAATGTAATCATTCAGTATGGATAATCTCCTTGGAAAGAGGCCACAGATCCATGCAAATAGGATCATTGGATTTCTTTTTTGAAAAGATTTTAAAAAATGTATTTGGAAGATAGGTTTACAGAGAGAGAGAAAGAGAGAGAAAGAGAGATCTGTTGGTTCACTTCCCAAAAGGCTGCAATGGTAGGAAGAGCTGAGCTGGTCTGAAGCAGCAGCTCCCTCTTGGTCTCCCATGTGGACACAGGGCCCTAAGGACTTGGCTCTTCCTTCATTGCTTTCTCATATCACTAGCAGGGTGAAGGATTGGAAGCAGAGCAGTCAGGACACAAATTGGTGCCCATATGAAATGCTGGCACTGCAGGTGGAGTATTCACCTGCAATGTCCCGGTGTTGGTCCCCAGGATTATGGAATTCCGAAATAATAGAATCTACAAATGGGTGGGGGGAGTAATCATCCTTTCTGAGTTGAATCATAATCTTTTTACAGCCTGTGTTGGTATTTTCATATGCAAGCTGTTTTAATAGTATCTCCTTTACTGAAGAGCCTGGATGATCTTTGCCGGGCAAGGACGTTACGTGTGGCAGGTGCGCTCTTGGATCTGATCATCAGCAGTGGCAGCATCAACACGTTGCGAGTCACAGCAGCTGTATGATCCCATCCTGTAAGCATGCCGTGCGTTATGTTCATCTGATCACTCCAGTTTTGCCTGTCCTGCTTCTGCACTTGCCCTTGAGACTCTTCCACAGTAAATAGTCTTCCCATGTGAACAAGCTGCATGCAGTCAGCTGGAATCAGCCAAGCCGGAACCAGTGCTTCCATTCAGGAGATACTCAAAGGAGAGCTAGCCACGCTTGAGCATGATTTGTCCGAGGGATTTTACAGTCTTTGAATCCAACACGGTCTCTGCTGAGTTGATTAGGATCGGTAGCGTGGGATCTCTGAGTTAAGGGAAATGCCAGTCCATCTTCCAGATACAGATTCCTCACCGTCCCACAGAGGGCTCAGGAGAGTGGAGTTTCACACAGTGCAGGAGAGGCTGATAGGGGACCAGTGGGAGAGGAGAAAGTGGCCCCTTCTCTGTCAGTTCCTCTCTCCTCCAGCTGTGATGGCTTCCGGACCTGCTTTATCAGAGTGCACAGAGAGAATGCACTTGAAGGCGAGCTCTCTCCCTGATGCTGAACCTTTAACATTCTGTGTGCTTTATGCAATCAGCTAAATTGAAGGTCCTATGTTTGGGAAACCAAGGGTTACATTCAACAATGATAGACAAAAATTCTACCAAGTCTTTCTGGGATATCAACCCAACTTCTGTTAAGTAACTGTTTAAGTGCCCTACGTTAGTGTCTACTGTCTATACTAGAAGTCTGACAGAATTAATCATTGACAAAACTGACCATCGCGACCCTGGGGATGTTTTGTGCTGATCATGCTTATTTATATATTCCGCTCAGAGTGAATCTCCCCCTGATGGTCCCTGTTCAGGTGCCACTTAGTGCAACCTACACAGCATGAACCATGGTGAAGAGGAAAGTGATGCACAACTAGAAAAAGGAGACACAAAGTACTGATTTATAAAGCAGGGGGGGGCAGTAGCTTCCCCTCCACAGGGGGAGAGGAACCTCACTGGGCTCTTCCCCACAGTTTTTATTTTCTGAATATCAGATGTCTCTGCTGACCTGGCAATAGTCTAAGGTCACATCCCCATTGGCAGCTAGCCACGGAGACTGCCAGAGAGAGAACAAGTCCTCAGTGAGCCAAGCTCTGGGAGCTGCTGTGTGCAGGCCAAACACCCTTCAGAGCTTCTTCTAGACTGGTTCAGGCCTTCCTCACTCTGTTGATGTCTGCCCTGACTGGTCTCCAGCACTTCTTAACCACTTCATCCAACTCCTTCCCTAGATTTTATTTCCCTTGTAGAGTTGGTCTGTATAATCAAGACACTCTTCTTCATGAGTCTTTAAGTTGGGATTTGGAAAATGATAGGCACCTCTGTGTGTGATGAAAAGCTCACTTCATTATTTGATTTTTTTTTCTATTGCTAAAATTGCTGCTGTATCTAATAATGGAACTCCAATGGTACCTAAGAAAATAGCGTCCTTTCTGAATTCAAAGTAATTTTCTGCTGATGTTGCTCTAATTTTGAATTATTCTACATGCAGTAGAGACCAAATGCTGAACATATTGTAATAGCAAGGGAAGAAAGAAAACAAATTAGAGAGGTTTGCTTTTAGATTGTATGAGCTGTTTCTTCCATTAGGCTGAATTTCTGGCCTTCAGACTCTGCTGCAGTGAGATTCACTGGATGATGCAGACACGACATTAAATTTAGAGGAAGGACTATTAGATGTACCTGCACTTTCAATGGCAATTAAAGTGATGATGAAAACATGAGTGTTTGGGTATTTTGTTCCTTAAGCCCCCTTCTTGAGAAGGAAAAAAAAAAGGACATGAATTTGAAGAGTTACTCAGTTGATAGGCATTGAGAAGCAGCATAGAAATGGAACAACAATCCCTTCTGAGTGTCAAGGCTCTGGATTCACTCAGGAAATACATTTTCTCTCCAAATCTCATTTCCTTGCAGTGTTTGTAATTATTTGCTGAAATTCTTTATTTGTCATGTTCCCTGAGTTTTTCTTCTTTTGGAGTGACAGCTTTAACAGGATTGCTAGTGGCTTTGAAGTTGTTTTTTTTTTTTTTTCCTGAAAATGGAGTTGTGTGGATTTTTGAAGCTCAGCACTGCAAATTACTGAAAGGTCATGAGAGAGAAATACAGGGAGGTCAAAGGAAACCTATGTGGGATTTTCAAGGGTCAAAATACTTAAAGCAGGAAGAGTACATCTACTTGACGTTCTGGGGCAAGAAAGCACTCTATGTCATTTAAAGAAACCTACCCTACAATAGCACATCAACCATCTATTTCACTGTTCCTTTCAGCATAGCAGCTAGATATACCTTCCCATTTTATGTGGACAAAAATGGAGATGATTTGCCCAAAGTCACACAAAAGAGGCTGGCAGGACTTGAAACCAGTTTTGGCTGGCTCCGTGTCAGCATCCTGCTGTGGATGTCTCTAGTCACTCTCAGACACACCAGACCTGCACTGTTCAAATAAAGTAGCTACTTAGCAAATGTGACTATTGAAAACTTAAAATGTGGCTAATCTGCCTTAAATAGTGTTGCAAACTAATGTATGTTGAAGATGTTCTACAAAAAAGGTAAAAATCTTAATATCTATTTCATATTGAATTAACCAACTGGCTTAAATACATATTCTTAAAATTAATTTTGCCCCTTGGGTAAACTGATGCCACTGTGAGATCCATGAGCCAGTGATGAATCTGACAAGAGAAAAAACATTTAGAAGAAATGAAAATAAAATCAAAAACATCAGAGCACATGGGATGCAGCATTATCATATGCAAAGGGTTATTGAACACAGTTTGCATGACGGCTTCCTTACATAAGATCTCTCACCTATGGTATTTCTCCTTTTGGAATTGATTTATTTCACTGAGCATAATGGTCTCTAGTTGGGACCATCTAGTTGCAATTTCATTCTTTTTAATGGCTGAGCATTATTCCATGGAATACATGTACTATGGTTTGTTTAATCACTGCTCTTTGGACAGGCATCTAGATTGTTTCCATGTCTGCTATTGTAGATTGTGCTGCTGTAAATACAGGATTACAAATTCCCTTCTCATATGTAGGGCTGACACAGGCCAAAGCCAGGAGCATCCTCCGGGTTTCCCACGCGGGAGGCAGGGACCTAGCAGCCAGGCCATCTCCTCTGCTTCTTCCATGCCATTGGCAGGGAGCTGAATTGAGATGAACAGCTGGGACACAAACCAGTGCCATGTCAGATACTGGCATTGCAGGTGGCAGACTTACTTGCTGTACAAACCAGCCCCGACAGTTAAAAAAAAAAATCTTGAACCACATTGTGATGATTCTAGTCTCAATAAAATAATCATCCTTATTCTTGGGATTCCTTTTCCCTTGTCAGTTTGCCTTTGTATAGCTTGTACAATACCTTGAAAAAGCAGCATTTCTTGTCAATTCAAGAGACTGTGACCAGGGCCCAAGCCAGCATGATTAGGCAGGTAAATCCAGTTGGGAAGCAGATACACTGTAATGCCCTGGGCTGAGCTACAGTGATGTGCACATCCGACAGCTCATACTGACTCACCGTCAGTGTAAGGATCTTTAGGTTGACGAGGGTGGGTAGGACCACATGCAGGAATGGGTGAATCGTGATAGAAGAGACAATATAAAACATTCATGGACGAAACACCTGCCTAGCTGCTTTTCTGAAAATGGTTTAAAATCTAAAAAAATAAAGATCTATATTTTTTATTCATTGTGTAACATAAAAAATTCAAGTCACTAAAATGTTAGTTTTCTGGTTTAAAATAAAAACTATTGGGGATTAGTGTAGAAGACAGCTGAACTGCAACAGTATATTAAAAATTCGTATTCTGAGTTAATACCTTACAAAAAGCACATGTAAATACACTAAATACTCAAAAAAGATCAAGGACATGAGATACATAAAAAATATATTTCTTAGATCAGCACCAAAATAGCTTTTGTTTCTGTACAACCTGTGTCAAATTCATAAGTATAGTTACATTGAAACTGTGAGAAAAATTATAAATGCCACAGAAATCCAACCCGCCAATATGTTTTGACATCAAGATCAGGCAATTCACTTTGACGAACACAAAAGTGTCTTTCAGTAAGACATTTGATGCCAAGTTTGCATTAGGGGAACACTTTACATTTCACACAAAGGAGGCACTACCACTTAGACACTTAGGAACATTACTAGACCCTTAAGACCGAGGTGAAGAATTTGTGCAGCCTTCCACGACTTCAAAGAGGTAGTGGTAGATACTTGACCTCTTGGCGATATCAAATGCGGTTTCCTCCAGGTTGTTTTTCAGGCCTGGCTCGATGTAACGGTTCATCAGGAGGAGTTCAAGTGTGTCTCTGCTGTCTTTGTTTCCAGCAGCAAGATGCAAGGGGGTTAAGAGGCCTTTTGTTTGGGCATTGATATCCGCGTCGTGCTGAAGTAAGAAAGAAGCCACGCTGGCATTATTCCACTTACAAGCGCTGTGCAAGGGTGTCCAGCCATCCACAGTGACCGCGTGCACATCTGCTCCGTGTGCAATCAGCTCACGAGCAATGTCCAGGTGCCCGCCGTAGGCTGCTCGATGGAGCGGCGTGTACTGATCTTCATCCCTGCTGTTCACAAGACTGGCCTTCTCAGACAGTATTCTCTGCACTGTAGAAAGCTAAGAAGAAGGGAAAAAAAAATACACACCTTTGAAAATCTACTCAAAATAAAGAAAACAAAAACTGTCTAGTGATGTTTGATTTCATGGAGTTAAACAAAAATTTACTTGCTGGCAGAGGATTTGAAAAAGATTTCTGTTTTGGAAAGTAAGGGTGACTAATTTGTAGTTTTAGTCCTGGGTGATTGACAGAGGCTACAATTATACTTTGCTTTTTATTTGTAAAAACAAAACAAAAAACCTTTTTCTTGTAAAAGGAGTATCATACAAATATGTATAGTATCTGGACCTTAAAAAGAAAATGAAACAGAAAAATAAAACAGTGACAGGAAATCTAGGGATTGAAGAATTCAATTCTCTCTAAAAACCTCAGAAGTGTGTTTTCAGGTAGTACTACTCATTTTGGTCTATGGACCTCTGATGAGTAAAATCTTGGGTTAAATGATCTTGGGTTAAAAAGATAGCCAAAAAGGCAAGACTCTTAGTTATCTGTTTACTTCCAGAGATGCGGAGCAGGGTGGAACCTGGCAAAAGGAAGTATTACAAGCCAGGGGAAAAGAAGAAACAGTTGATACTATTCCTACCTGCATGACCTGGGCCTATTACTAGTACCAAATCTCAATTCCTAAGTTTATTAAAGGTAATAATTCTACCTATCTTAGAGGGTATGTGAAGATTAAACAAAATAATTCAGCAAGGCATCTAATATTTAGTGAATGTCAACTCTCTTTCATAGATGATATTTATCTTGAAGGTAACCCATTTGACTTCATGTAAATGCCTTACAAATGCAGATATCACTTGCTGCTTTTCTGGATAACTGTCCTAAAACTCTCACATAATACCTAACATGACATGTTTTAGCTTAGTATGTGTTTTAATGAACATGGCCTCATTGGATCCTCACAATCTTATAGCAAAGAGGCAAGCATTATGATGACCAATTTTTTTTTTTTTTAACAGATAAGAAAGCAGAGACTCCGAAGAAGAATTTGCCCAGAGGTAGCCTAAGTTCAGGGGCAGGTTTTCTTGCTTCAAAGCCACCAATTTTCCAATTATGTTATGATTCTCTTTCAAGTCTGTTTTTTTTTTTTTTCTTACCCGATTTTTTTCAGCAGCCCAAAGAAGCAATTTGCCTGGATCATTTTCCATTGATTTTTCTTGTTGTTGATACCACTCTTCGCTTTCCTCTTGCTCTTCTTCGTCGTCAGAATTGCCCACCCAGAGACTGTGAGCGCCAGTAGGAATGAGGTGTCTATGTGTTTCCAATAATTCAAGTTGGTTAAAGTGTTCGGGAAAATCAAAGGGATGCTCTGGGTCTGGAGTCTCATCACCTTCTACATCAGCCTTTTCCATGTTTACTGGTACTCAAAAGCCATTTCAAACGCCAAGATCTGAAAACACAGGCACAAGCCACAATATTTAGCAAAACACTCATTGAGGTGTTATCAACAGCATAGTTATGCCTTCTAAAGATATACAAATAAACCTTATCCAAATTATTGTTTTTCTCATATTTGTTACATATACTAAATCCTGGAACTGATGGATTTCAGTTATTAATGATTTTTAAAGAATCAAAAATGCCTTGCTTTCTTTCACTTAAGTGGATGGTTCCCAATGTTGGCTTAGGTATTATGGCATGCTAGGAGTGATGAATGCTTTTTTAAAGTATAAGGCAACTGCGCCAAGCACATGTGAAACTTTTATAACCAAGACACAAAGACAATTCAAGGGAAAAACTAAAATTTCTAGTTTTGAAGAAGGAATCAAGCATTCTTTAAGATGGAATAGACCCTAAAGGGGCATCTGTCCAAGTTGCTCATCAAAGCAGACGTATTTATTACAACATATGGTTTATTTAATGTCTATTTTCATAATTTCAAGCCTGGAAAACACTGCTTTAAAAAGCAGAACTTTCACTGATAGATAACTATAGTTCTTAGTTTGTTTCTTCTGGTGTGCTAAATTTTGGCTGTTACTCATGTCTTCATTCAATAAATATGGTATATGTCGGTCTGTGGGCACTGGGATTACACAATGAACAATTCTACATCTTTACCTCAAGTTTACCGTCTAATGGAGCTGACTAGCAAAGACAACATAATAAATACTAAGACAGGAACAAGTACATACCATGAGTAGGTAGAACAGTAATAACATATTCAGTTCTAAGGCATAAATATTACTATTAACATTACTTTTCAGAATAAAATATTTATTCTGCTAAGCTGCCATTTTAAAAAGATTTTATTTATTTTTATTGGAAAGTCAGATATACAGAGAGGAGGAGAGACAGAGAAGATCTTCCATCCACTGTTTCTCTTCCCAAGTGACTGCAATGGTTGGTGCTGAGCCTATCCAAAGCCAGGATCCAGGAGCCTCTTCCAGGTCTCCCATGCAGGTATAGGGTCCCAAGGTTTTGGGCCATCTTTGAATGCTTTCTTTCCCAGGCCACAAGCAAGGAGCTGGATGGGAAGTGGAGCTGCCAGGATTAGAACCAGCATCAATATGGGATCCCTGTGCATGCCAGACAAAGACTTTAGCCACTAGGCTACTGCATTGGGCTGAAACTGCCACGTTTTTTATAAACCATTATCGGCTTCAAGAGTTACACAGTATATTTAACTTCATTGGTTAGAAAAAAAATGATGTTTTGGTATAATTTCTAGGATCCCAATTATCCTTGAAATCATCTTCCTCTTCTTTTTTTTAAAGTTTATTTGAAAAGCAGAGTTACAGGGAAAAGAGGAGAGACATACAAAGAGAGAGAATCTTCTGCCCCACTGGCCCACTCCCCAAATGCCAGCAGTGAGGCCTGGAGAATAGAATGGCCTCCAGGCCTCTCATTCAGGTGCCCGTGCACCGGGACCGTCTTCCACTGCTTTCCTAGGCACAACAGCAGGAAATTAGATCAGAAGTGAAGCAGCCAGGACTCAAACTGGCATCCACATGGGATGCTGGGGTCCTAAGTGGAGGTTTAGCATGCAAAGCCAAAAAATCTTCTTAGTCCTTTAAGGATCTTCTCCGAGGCTAGTGATCAGACTTGACTTCTATTTATGTGCCACTGACATAACAGCAAAAATATGCTGCATTAATTAGGATGTTATGGTTTGATTTTGCATGGAATAAATTTTGAAAAGTACGACTGACTTGAAGTTAATCATATGACTCTAATCTTGATTCCTACCTAATCTCACAAGTTTAATAGTAGACAATCTTAATGTGAGATTAAGTTTTACTACTAAGAGCACCAAACTTGGGTTGTTAAGTCTGTCACTGAAAAATAACAATTTCTTAGGTCTATTAGTTCCTAAGGATTGCTAAAGCTTGTCCAGCTTTTCAGAGCCTATTGAGACTGCACTGGGAATTGCTTTGTGTTTTATTAGTTCTCTTGGTGTTTCCATGAGACAGGGTTTTCTCTTATCCTCAAAACTATTTCTAAAACCCTGAAACGCAAAAGTGATCATAGATGAATTCACTAAACTTGTGATAATTGCCAACAAATTCACCTTAATTAGAGCAAAGGCAGTAGCATTAAAGATCTTAACTCCTCCCTTTCCTTTTTATAAAACTCTCCTTTACATATACTGTTTCAGCTAGATATAATAAATTACATATAAAAAGGTCTTGGTAAATTTAATTCATAAAAAGTCAAACCCAGGTGTGTCTCTTTGCGTGGAAGAGCTGATCAAGACTTTTATTTGAAGTGAGAGGTATTCAAGGGACGTTTGTATCCTGGTTGTCCCATTTCCCTTCTAAGTCCTGGGAAAGCAACAGTGGATGTCCCCAGTGCCTGGCCCAGCCCTGGCCATTGTGGCCATCTTACAATGAGCCAGCGGATGAGAGATGTGCCCGTCTCACCATCCCTCTCTCAGACTAACAAACATTTATTCTATTAAAGAAAATCAAAAAGCTTCTTTTACAGTATTCCACCTGGAAGTGGTAAGCACGTTTCCTGGCAACAGTCTAGGTTCATTTTTACGGCGATCTGAACCACTCAGTTACAGGTGCAGCTATAAACCCATTTCACAGGTAAAGGCATACCCTGGGACGACTCTCCCTGGCCCTAGAACCCTCCAGTGGAACCGAAAGGCCTTACTCTTCCGTTGAGTTACTGTTGTCAGCACATCGCAGGTGCGCTGAGCTCGGGGACGACGTCGTGGGGAAACTGGTATTACAGTCTGCACGCGAGTGGGACGGAGGGACACCAGCCCCCGAGTGCTCACCGGACGGCCGCCCACCGCGCCCGAGGCCTCGGCAATGGCCAACAGCACAGTGGCCGCTCGGGCCCTCCCCGCCGCGGTCGGCCCTCCAGGCCCGGACCCTGGAGACCCCGAGGCTCCCAGGGAGCGGGAGGCGCCCGCACGCCGGGCCACCGCGCGCCGGGACCGGGAAGTCACCCACCTGACGCAGCCCCGAGCCGCCGGTGTTCCCCTCGCTTCCGGGTTCGCTCCCTCGGCCGCTCGGGATTGGCTCCGGCGCGGGGTCCGTGTCACCTCTCTGCTGTCCCCGCCCCGTCAACGGCCTCCCTCAGCCAATGAGAGCCGAGCGGGGCGCGCGCCGCCGACGTGGTCCGCGAGCTCTCGCGAGGCGAGCGCAGCCGCGCGCTTGAGGCGAATTTGGGTTTGTTGCAGTGTGGCTTCTGAGGCGCTCGGACACTTGGTACCGTTCGCTTTATTGTCTCCAGCCCCTCTTCCCAGGTAGAAGACAGCCACAGGTCCAGAACGGGGGGCTGGCAAGAGTCCAGCTGTGGGTAATTTAGAAACCGTCTCCGCCTTGCGTTTCTTTGGCTTTGTGGATGAAGCCCGGAATGAGGCAGTTTGGGAGAACGGGGCCGAGTCGCTGGGGAGGGGTCCTGCTGACCTCAGGGGGTGCTGGGTCCCCTGGGCGCCTAGCCGTCTTCGCTTCCGTGGCTGGGGGTGAGGGTCACGGGTTTGTTGATTGCCAGCAGGTTTTTATGGGGTGCCTCTCGCTTCCAAACACTCTTTTCCAAAGTTGTGTGTTTGAGCAGGAAAGACTAAGTTGTTTTTTGCACATCCAAGTTTGTGTGTATGACTTTCCTGCATTTATTTTGTGAACATGAATTGCTCATAAAAATAAGGAAGACGTTAAGTTTGATCATAATGGCGGAGCTAGAAAAGCATTGAAATTGGGTTGTTTTTGATTAACTGTGTTAAAAAAATGTAAATAGTCAGGATTCAGATGAAAAAGTTGCAAAATTTACAGTCCGCTTATTTAAGAAGTCTGTTCTGAGCAGTTGGTTAAATGCGTGCTACTTAAAGTATTTTATGTCATTCTGGTTTTAGATTTTCTGGTGGATTTCCTGACGCACTTGAACTGAGGGGTGCTGGGAGAAGCCCCTTTTCTTGGTGGACATGAGTCCTGCCGATGCACTGTGAGTGAGCGTGTGGCCTCTAGACTTCCTTGTTGCCTTGGGTTTCTGAAGCCTGTCAAGTTGCCATCACCACAAGGGAAAGCTTACTGCATGCATTAGCAGAAAATAAAGAGAATTTGTCTCCAAATAGAACTGCTAGTCATACAAAGTATTTGGAATATTAAGAAGAAAACCCGTACTGCAGGTTTATTAGCTTGAAGATGTGCCGTTTGAGCTCAGAGTCTGTGCACACAAGGTTATATTCCTAGGCCTGGGTCTTTGAAGTACTGACTTTACCTGTTGAAATCTTACCAGAATTTTAGTTTTTGTGGTGGAGCATAATAGGGAAACCGCTTTCAGGGCCACATGAGTTTTATTTTTATAAGTTTTTGAAGCAATTTGACAAGCTTTTAAGATGTTATGTACATTTGTGTTGTATTGAGTTAGTCGTTGGGAAAATATGCGATATTAAAGATCTGAATATTTCCACTTTTCAGAGGAGAACAGTTGTTTTGCTGTCATTCTGTCTTCCACATTTAGATCTCAATTGATCTGACATCTAATGTTTTATTTTGGATTTTTTTTACAGTGATGATGAAAATACATTTAAAATCTTAGTTGCAACTGATATTCACCTTGGATTTATGGAGAAAGATGCAGTCAGAGGAAATGATACGTTTGTAACACTTGATGAAATTTTAAGACTTGCCCAAGAAAGTGAGGTCAGTTTGCTTTAATATTTGTGCAGTTTCTACTAATTGCCGTAGTGGGGAGGGTATTCTTTTCCTTTCAGAAGCTAGGGATTGTTGTAGGCTCATGACCTCTTACCATCTTTTTAAGTAACACTAAAACGTAAAAGCTGTAAGTAGCTTTTGTGTGCCTCGTGTCTTAACAAGTAGAAGCTATTTTTGTAAATATGTCTGCTAAAACCTGTAAGCATTTATGGGTTGTTTATTGAGTGCGGCTTCCTATGGAAATGTGCAGATGACTACTGTCTTAGTTTACAGCTTTCCAAGAACTAGAATGTCAACTAAGGCGAGTGTCCAGCATTCCGTGCAAGGTTGTAAGCAAGTCATGAACAGCATTTCCTGGGAGTTTTGAGGTAGACTGGATCACATTTAGATGAGGGTTTAGATGAGGTAACGTAAGCTTCATGAAGGAGGTGGCATTTCACTTGGGCTTTGGAGGATGAACAGACAGAAGGTGCACAGAGAACTAACTTCCAGGGGAAGCATCAGTGAGGGACCTGAGGCAGTGAGAGGTATCATGGCACCAGCAGGTGAATTTGGCTGGTGATGTAGAGAACACTGAGGACCAGGAATGAGGCTGTGAGCTGCATTCAAGAGGGTAAGTGCCAGATCGAGGAAGAATTGGTGGGAAAGAAGGAGTAAGAGGTTACAAAGGCCGGGTTTGTGTGCGTAGGTTAGTTGGTCTGGGGATGGGGATGCAGGAGTGACTGTGACTGAAGAGTCGGAGTGAGTGGTGCCACCAGTAATAGAAATAGGTACATAAGCAGGAGGTACTTCTCCGGTGGGAAAGTGCTGAATGCTGAGACCTGTGTAGAGGGACATTTCAGGTGGTTGAAATGTGAGTCTAGACCCCAGGACGGGAGGGTAAACATAACTGCTGGTGACTTAAGTATTCCTACCTCCAGCCTTTCCCACGTAAACCTGTTTGGTAACTCTCCTGAATGTACATGGAATGCCTCAACTACTCTTAATCTTCAGCTCTGTAAACTAAGGCTTAAATTGTTGACATATTTTGCCAAGGTGTAGTATCCATTTTGATCCAGTATAGCAGCCAAAGTGAACTCTAGAAATGGAAGATTCTTTCATTCTGCAACTTTAAAAATCTCCCAGATGGCCTTCACTTAGATCCAGAATGAGATGCAGACCTCAAGACTCAACGTGATCTGGCCCTTGCCAGGAGACAGTGCCTGTGGTTCTTTGCCTGGTGTACCGTGCTGTGTCTACACTAGCACGTTCTAATCAAGGACTTTGCTCATCTTGTTCTCTGCGTGACAACATGATCCTGATTTTGGCTGGATTCATTTTTCAGTTCTCAATTCAAATTTTAGTTTTTGAAGAGATTACTTCCAAGTATTTTTTTATCATATCACTTTTTATCTTCTATTTAAAGTGTTTTCTTTTTTTGTAACACTGTCTAAAACGAGTTATGAGTTTACTTGTTAGTTGTCTTCTGTCAGACAGTGTTTCTTCATGCTATATCCTGTTACCTAAAAAGAATTTAGAAAGTAATAGCAGAGGGACCAGTGTTGTGTAGTGGGTAATGCTGGCATTCCCAGATGTCTGCCAGTATGTGTGTGTGTGTGGCTGCTCCACTTGGAATTCAGCTCCCTGTTAGTGGTCTAGGAACAACAGTGGAAGATGTTTTAGCCCCTGTCACCCATGTGGGAGATTTGGATGAAGTTCCTGGCTCCTGTCTTCACCTTGGCCCAGCCCTGTCCGTTGTGGCCATCTGGGGAGTAAACCAGAGGACATAAGATGGATTCTCTCTCTCTTTCTCTGTGTGCGTATGTCTCTCCTCTCTCTGTAATTCTTTGAAAGTAAATAAATATTTGAAATAATAATAATAGCACAGTGGAATGTGCTCATGCATTTGTCAGCAGAGTGACTGCTGCTCTCTCCTTTTAAGATGAGTTTCTTGTTACCAAGGGCGAAGAACTTGTGGACACAGGAGCTCTGTTCCCTGCCAGATTCTTGCCAGTGCCTTCTTGCTTTGAGTGTCTAGAACACTTCTGTCTTTGCATGTTGGTTTGTTTCACTTTGGCCTGGCCCTCCCTGTGCTTGCTGCTTCCCTTCCCAATGTCCCTTCATGCTGACTGCTCTACTTGCTGTGGCCCTGTGACTATCATGTTCATGGTTTCCTTGAAATTCATACTTAGATTTCTTGTTGAAGTCTGAATTTTTCCTGACTTTATTTCTGGTTCCTGTTTGGAGTCTTTATTATATTCCCTTATTTCCAGAATCTTAATTTTTAATTTTGGAATAATATCAATCTTCTAGAAAAGCTGCAAGAACAGTACAAAGAATTCTTTGAGTCAGATTTGTCAGTGTTTTAACACATTTGCTGTAGCATCTCTCTACACACACATTTAACTGAACTGCTGGAGAGTAAGCCGCATGTGTAATCACAGGTTACTTTTCAAAATCTAAATTAATATTGGATATAAAGCTACTGTATAGTTTTACGATGTTGACAGTTATCCCAAAGATGTCTGTTACAGCTAGTTTTGAGCTAATCTGTGTGATTGACAATCCAGTCTAGGATTATGTCTCGGTTTTGTTTGTCATCGCTGTCCTTTTTTAATCCTGGTACATTTCCTCACTGTGGCTTGATCTTTTGTAACCCTGTTATTTTTGAAGATTAGCTGCTGATCATTTTGAATATGTCAGCTGTTTCCTCGTGATTAGACACAGATTCTATACAGTTGACATCAGTTTCACGAAAGGAAGTTGCCTAGAGTCGTCAATAGATTAAAAATAATTATAAAAATTCTGTCAGAACAGACAATGTAAAGTTTACCGTCTTTACCAGGGAACAGTCCATTAGTGTTAGTTGTGTTTACATTGCTCTGCAGCCAATGTTCAGAGCTCTTCAGTCTACAGAAGTAACACCTAATTAAACGCTCCTTATTTTTCCCAGTGTTTTTTTCATATGCTTGTTTTGTTCTTTTCCTTTGACTATGATCATTCTTAATATTGTTCTTTCTTGAAGGTCTAGATTAAATTCAGCATTTTACTGAAAATTCCCCTACTGCCATAGCCACAGGCATTTATGTAATTAAGAATGAAAGTGTCTTAGATAGTGTACTTGAAA